ATCACATGATGGGGTGTGTGTGCTTTTAAACATAGAAAAGGTGAAAAATAGTAATAATAAAACATAGAAAAGCAGTAGAAACAGGATTATAATCTCATGGGACCTCTGTCACATGTACAGTCTGTTACTAACTGAAACGTCATTATGTGACACGTAACTGTATTCGAAATCCTGTCAGTGTTGCCCAGGGTGGCTGATGAGTTCACGTGTGGCCAAGTTCATGGCTTTGCTTTCTCTACACGCCTGGAAGTTGCGGATTCTCAGTTTGAGTATTTTTAGGCGAAACTGTTCTGGCCCTTACCTCTCCTTCGCATTTTACCCTCTACCTCCCCTTTCAACTTCCTCTGGCAGAGACAGGATTCTGATTATTCTTAGCTGTTGTTCTTTATTTTTTATTAACAGACAGTGGCGTTTAAATCCAGAAGGTATTTGCTCTGCAATAATCAGGAAACGCTTTTGCTGGTTTAATGACTCTGATCTCACACGTCACCGAGTCCGCTTTGCTTGTGACTAACTGTGGTTCCAGAGGAAGCAGCACTGGCATTTATGCAGTGTTTGCTAGATAAAACATGCAGGCTATGTTTATAGCCAGGCCGGCTCCTCCTGTAGCCCCTCAGCCCAGTGCTGGGGGAGGCTGAGTTTCCGGGGCCCGTCCTTCCCTCCCACACCTTTCTGGCCCTTTCCTTGTTTCCATCCATGTACTGGGGTCCCTGCTCGGTCAACAGGTCACTGATGTGACATGTTCCTGGGCATGATAGTGGGCAGCCTCACTGAGACCATGTCCAAGGTGCACCTGAGATGCTCGGCAGCCAAGGCTCCTTGGCTTTGTCCTTGTGGTGGCAGGGAGGTTGGCGGCACAGCTGGGCCTGGAGCATAGAGCCATGGCCCCCTGTCCCGTGGCCCAGGCTTGCTCTGGAGCTCGCTTTCACTCCTCTGAAAACGAGGTGAATAAACCTGCCCTGCTCAGCTGTTGGGAGAAATGACCAAGGCAGTTATGTAAAGAGGCACTGGCAGTAGTAGGTGTGGTTCCTTTTATTAAAAAAACCACAACAGGGGCCGGCCC